AAAAAATAAACTGTTAATAAAAAATGTACTAACGTAGCCTTATCTAATTCTTATGATCTATTCTAAGAAAACAACCTTAGCAATATCATCATCGTTTTGGCTTTACATTTATAACATAAATTCTCAGTTAGGGGTGTGGAATTTGGGACTAAATGCCTGACATCTCTGCCTCTGACGCTTTGATTTCTTGACTGTCTTTTTTCAATCTGTTTCTCACTAGCCAAAAAGTTGGACATCCATTAGCAAGTTGCTGAACCTCTCCCAGCTTCAGGATCTCCGATCTTTTGCTGAATCTGACCTCTAACCTCCTTTAATACAGCTGAAGTGCATTTGACCCCTCAATCTCAGAGGAGAATTTCTTTGAGCTTTTATTTTAGTTTTACATGACAAAACATTGAACTGTTTGAACATGGAGGTTTATAATGCTCATTGGAAATAGTTGTGATACTACATAAGCAATGACATGTAATATAATTCAATGGGCATCACTCAATGTGGTAGGCAACAATATGACAATATTACACAAATGGTTCAATATCATGAGCAAAACGTATTGGTGTGATTTTGATTTAGCTCAGCTTGTTGCCTCTGATCAGGATCCAGCTCTTTACCTCCACTCTAGATATGTTTGAGGACTCGGGTCAGTGTCAAAGATCAGCTACTTACCCAATCAGGTAACTAGCTCCAGAAGGAAAATTACCTTCTTCCGACCACTTGCACTCACCTGCAGTGACCCGGAGCAATCAGAGGTGAACAGGGCTCCTAATCACGGAGACCCCTTTAGGTCAGTACAGGCACACCCCACACTCGGCACCACCCAGCCTCCTGCAAAACCACCTCCCCCAGACAAGGCCAACTTTGAGTTCAAGTGTTTCAACTGTCACATCAAATAGGCTCAAACGTTGAGATTTCTTGCGCAGGACGCATTGTTTGTTTAGTTTGATGCTAAGTGCAATATCCTGCCACTCTGTTGATCCGAGCAGAGCTTGGTAGTCAGGCCGTGTCAAGTAGAGGTGGCCTGCGTCGGGCACGCTCGCACTCTGATCAGCCGGGGGAAGTGTGGAAGGTGGAACAGGAAACAGAGCACTGGAAAGGATCTATAACCTGGAGCACAACCAGGTTTCCCCCACTGTTTATTTTGATAGAAATGACCCTGGTCATGCAGCAGGAGTATGCGTGATAAAGCAGAGACTGCACATTGTGGCACATTATGAATTTTTATGGTAGCTTCTGGTCATGTGAAACGTGATGGATGCTCAGCTACAAATGTTTGTGTTTCATGTACCCTTAACTTTTGAGGGCGCTTGAATCCATGAGCACTTAAGATGTGGTGTGTGTGCAGAGGGACTACATTACAGTGAGGGGACTCCGTGTTTTCCTATGGGGAACTGTGCCAAATCTCTGACAGATGATGAATGTCTCGCTCTATGCTCTCAGATTATTTGCAGAGTGTAGTTTAAAAAGGTCTGAGGACTGAGTACAATATGCAGTCTCAGGGACCAATAATAATGTACAATATAAGAGGGAATTCAAGTGAAATAACAGCAAAACAGACTCTTATCAGTGGTGGGATGTGACTTAGTACATTTACTATTCGAATATTCGTTTTATGTTTTCATTCTTGTGCTTCATTACATTTTGGAGTACATTTTGTTCTCTTTCCATGTCATTTATTTTTACAGGTTTGTTACTTGCTAATTTACTGAATCAGATTATTAATGCAAAATACAATCAATTATTAAGTATTTGTATGGATAGTAGCTGCACCTTTACTAGCTGCATCTATAACAATAGGGACATGAGAGGGTGGAGTAATTTTGAGGAAACCAAAAATGTAACAATTGACTTCATGAATGAAAATGTGAAAGTGTTAAAACTGTAAGATGAAAAAAACACTTAAACTATAGAGACAACACTGTGGTAGCAACCTGTCATCTTCTGGAACATGTACTAACGTAATCAATAAAGTCAGAAGCAAAATCATTTTCTCAAATGGGGCCTTATTTTGCTTTTATGGGTTTTCCATTTCCTGTAGTGTATTAAACAGGTTTTTGTGCAAGTAAATGATATGCAAAGGCTAAAATCCCAAAGTTCCCTCCAGAGAGAGTTTCCCTCCCTAAGGGCGGGTTGGCTCTTAGCAGTTGACCAATCACAACAGAGGCGGCCAGCTAACCAATCAGAGCAGGCTGGGCTCTGGTTAAAGGGTGAAAAGAGCTGCTGCAGCACAGGCAGTATGAGAAAAATAAAGAGCTTTTTAAACATTAAAGCATGGAGACAGGTCACAGTAGACTAGAGGCACAACATACAATTATAAAACCTTAAAGTGAACATAATACGGCCCCTTTAAAATGTGACTTATTTTTCAGAACGACTCAAGTCGCCCTCTGCTGACCATTAGAGAGAATGCAGGTTTAAGGCATTTCTTCATTGGCTTCACTTTTCAGACCCGGAGGTTGCAGATTAGATAATCATCATGATAATATGCTACTGCTGGCATGTAAGAATGTTATGCCGGATAGCTAAAACAATGAATTAAATGTTACTAAAAAGCTCCATAAACAGGTAGACTGCAGGCTCAGATGATTATTCTCTGTTGATTTGTCACCTTTCACTTTACAAATTGTCATGTAATACATTGTTTATGAAGAAAATATCCACTAGAGCAGCTTTAAGTACAGCTGAGTTAATGTTACTTTCCCTGGCTTCTTACAAGTGGACCACCAGCGGACTCCAGAGGAGGTCTAGTCCTTTACAATCAGCTTCTTCTCAAGGTTTAACAAATGATACCTGGCTGGCTGTTTAAGGACCCACCACTGTGTGGTTTTGACAGAAACTTGATCTGAGATAACACATGATGCCCTTGCCTGTACGCCTATCGCCTCTCCGTCAGTTTGCTCGGCTTGTTCAACAACTGGACAGGAAGTCTGCTAATCTGTAACCAGAGCCGGGGGGAAGGAAGAAGTCAGGAACCAGCCTTCAGTGCTTTCACCAATCGTATTCATCACCAAAGCCGGGCCGAGGCTGGTTTAGAGCGGGAGCACGGCTTAACTAAACATCTTCTCCATAAAATAAATGCTTCCAGGTTACTCCCAGTCCAGGTTCCACACAGAGGAGCATCTGATCTCAATTAGCAGGAGTGCTATAGGAAGCAGTGAGGCTCGGCCTGCAGCCTGAGCCAACAGCACCATGGCAACCAGCAGCACGTCGACGAGCCCCGCGCAGATACGAGGCCTTTTCAGGCCCTTGTAAGGCGGGAAATGATGATTCGATAATTAGTTCCTGATGCCTCCTATTCTTTTTCATATCAATCATGTCTAGGAAACAGAATGCAATTCAAATACAGTTTGAAGCTGGAGAGATTGGTTGGTATACTAAACGTCTATTGAAGAGTGATGTATGGATGCCCTGTGTACACTAGGTTTTCCAGTGTAAAACTTCAAGACTAAACACTAGAAAACCTTATGCACTGAAAAGACAAAAAACACTCTCAGAATTGATGGTCCTGCTGGAATATTTTTATAAACGCAGACTTAAATTGTCACAATTGTGACGCAGATAAAACAGGGACAACCACATTAAAAACCACACGTGTCAAAAGGACAATGTTCCATGCTTGTCCCTTCACCAAATGTTAACAAGACTATTAACAAAACTGTAAATCAAATAAGATGTACGATTCTAACAGGAAGATAACAAAGAATTAAGGATTAAGGAAAGATACATACAGAGAAATGTACAATACATTTGAATAAAATGTTAAATTTGTCTACACTTTTAATTAGTGCAAGCAGTAAAGACAGGTTGTGGAAAATAAAACTGTTGTGTTTGCGTTTAGGCAAGATGGATCATCTGCTGATGTTTAATCAAGAATGATAATATTATATTTCTTACATGAACTTTTTGGAATAGCATTTTTTATTTTTCAACATTTACTGTAATAGAAACAATTCATTCAGTAACATATGTCTTTAGACAGAGCTGAGTTGAGGTCTGCAACATTTAAAATATTATATTATCAAGATTTGATCTCCACATGGACAAGCTATTCTTAAAATTGTTACAGTATGCAGGAAATTACTCCAACAGACAAACATCTCACATAGGTTTGGCTCAGATAATGTCTCCAAGGGAAGGTATCAAAGATCAAAACCTGGCAACTCGACTGCACTGTTTGGTTCATTTTTGTTTCTGTGTTTTCCCATATTCTGCTTAGGGAGCTTCCCTGCTTCTATAAGAATAACTAAGAAAGATAATCTGCGAGTAACCAGAAGTGGTGGTAATGTAATCAAATGTCACAGTCATTTCACAGTTTACATACTCTGTTAAAAGCCAAAGTTATCTTTTCAAAATGTTTAAGTACTAAAACTAGTGCAAAAAGGGAACTCTACCCAGACAATAAGTTAAAATTCCACACTAGAGGAAGACTGTCATTTTCCAAACCTCCACAACAGCTTCTAAATTGACCTCTTGGTGAAGATTACAGCTTTCATCAAAACATATTATCATGCATTATTACATCAATAGTAGATCCACGCATTTGGAGAAAAGCTCAACAGATTATTATCTTATCTGAATATTCAGCATGGACATGTATGAGGGTCAATTTTATAAAACATAGTTCATTTTTTATGAATTAAATGTCATATTGAATGGGCTTTATCTAACAAGTAAAGCCTTGGGTGACTTATTTATTTGCCAGCAGGTGGAGATAAAGCACTTCCTAAAGCATCCTGTCATGTTTCCCTTCACCCTTAGGATTTTATTGACATATTAAACCAAAAATGTTCATAATTTAAAGACAGACCTTTTTAGACCCCAGAAGGTTAAAAATACAATCCTGAGAATTGTTCAAAAGGAACAAATCCAAATTATTTGGAGCAAGTTACAGTAGACTTTCTTACAAAGATAATGCAGACTAAAAAGAGGAAGTAGAGGAAACGGTGTTACCGCCCATTCTCTATGGTTGATGTTATAAAGCCATCTCTACATAAAAGCCCATGTAGAGGACTATGGTCTTTTAGATAGAGAGAAGCACACCCATCTCTCAAATGACTTTCTAGGAACACTAGAACGATCCACACGTGGGAATCATGAAAGGTGAGTCCTTCAAATTATGAAACACCTGCTGGATGTTATGTGATGTTTTCACACCAAGATAATATACGTTATTATGTTTATAGAGTTTTGCATCTTCTTGATCTGCTTCATCAACCTGTTGCTGCTGGAGAGCTCATCGTGTGCTGGTGACTCAAGTGTTGGTAAGCAGTTCATCTTTATTAATCTTATTTTCTTGTAAAACTTGAAGTACGAAACTGATATATTTCATCCCATGTCACGTTACGATTCAGTCTCCGTGAAAGTGCTGTTGCGCGTAAGCTATAAACATGTTTCAGTTTAAAAAAAGTTGCATATTTTTGTTAAATGTCCAGGACCAGTATTACAATTTCTTAAGGCCTTAAGTGTGACGTTTACTTTACCAATGTACCATTGTTGATCCTTTGGTACAGTGTTACTTAAGACTAATGCTGGAAATAACAAAAGGTAAATAGTAAATACAAATATATTTGTTATTAGTACCACTCTTATCTCTCGTCTTATTCACAGTTAAATAAGGAAGAAAGCTGCCGTGGTCAATTATCTCATTGAACTTCTGCAAGTATGAACGGAGGACAGGAAGCCTGCAGAGAGTGTCAAAGATACGGGGGGGGGGGGGGGGGGGGAAATGAAGTGCTAATTTAGTAACTAGTTTCAGTGAAGACAAAGCAATATGCACCACTTTGTAACCTTCATTTATCCTGGGTAGTTTCACAGGTCTCATTAGTAGGCCACCACTTTGTAGTTTTATGGGGAAGCATAAAAAAGTATATTTTGTGTAAGATTCAAAAGCATAACACACAATGTTTAACACACAGTAACATTAATTAGTTTAACATTTTCAGGTTGTCTGTGTCCGACTCTCGTTTCCGTATTGTTCAGAATCAATACATTATCTGAACTATCAGTCATTTAGTAAAGCAGGGAGGGATCTATTCATTCTCAAAGTGTAATATGATTTCTTTCTTCGGTTTCAGTGAATCCCTGTTGTTCCTACCCCTGTCAGAACTCAGGAGTGTGTGTGAGATTTGGTACAGAACGCTACGAATGTGACTGCACTCGAACTGGCTTTTATGGAGTCAACTGCACTGTTCGTGAGTACTGCTAAGTTTTTTATGTGAGACATAAATCTGCATGTCAACATCTGGGTGTGGGTTTATTTGAAAAACACAGTGGATATCTGTTCAACCTCTCATGTACCCCTTTTACCTCCATTGCTACTTTAATGTGCACACTTATCCCCAATCTATCTATTTGTATGCTTGTGGTAATGTGCATTTAGAAACTTTAATAAAAAAACAAGCATAACGGAAGTACTCAATAGCGAGTAGCTAAAGGAATATTCGTTTTGCTCTTACGGTATGTGATTATTTTGGTTTTCATTCCTACGTTCAGAAATTCATTAAGCCTCAAAGGTGTCCTATCATGCAAAATGCACTTTTAGATATATTTTATACATAAATATGTCTCCCCGGTGTGTCAGGGAACTCACAAAGTGTCAGAAAATAAAACCCTCTCTCTTTTCCTCCGTACCCAAATCTCTAAAAACAAAGCTGATCCAGATTTGTGTCCGATATGACGTAATATGCTAAATGTGGGCTGGCTTTACACCCACGGCCCTATCAGAAACATCGCTATCAGAAACAATGCACGACGTGTTTTGGACGTAATATGGTCTTTGTTTACATTAGCAAGCATTGCTAACACTCAGAGCTAACCTGTACTGGAGAGAGCATGTGTAAAAAAGCAGAAAATAAGAAAAGGAACTCACCTTGTAGTAAACCTGCAAGAGAAAAAGCATTTGAGCTCCATACTGTTTCAGAAATAATGCTTGATGTGGTTTGGAACATGATATGGCATTTAATCACAGCAGCATTTAGTCATTTGTAAAGCATTAATACATTATTAATTAGGATTTGTCTCAATCCCTTACACAGGATGCTTAATTTGAATTGCTATAAAAATAACTTTTTCCTGATCTTTGTGTTTAGCGGAGCTCTGGACCAGAGTTCGTCTCATGCTGAAGCCGAAGCCTACGGCGGTTCACTACTTCCTCACGCACTTCCACTGGTTCTGGGACCTCGTAAACAACTCTTTCCTGCGAGACACGTTCATGAGATTAGTGCTGACCGGTAGGTGAAAAGTCTCATGGTAAAGATAAAGAGCCACAGTGGATAAATCAACAAACCTCACTTGCAGCTAACATTCCTCAGCATTTTATTTAGTTATACTCCGTTAATTATATGATGTAAACTTCACATTGTCCCATTCTCCCAAAGTCAGAAGCGACCTTATTCCAAGCCCTCCGACCTACAATACTAAATATGGATACCTCAGCTGGGAGTCTTACTCCAACATGTCCTACTACACCCGTCTCCTCCCTCCTGTTCCTGAAGACTGCCCTTTGCCCATGGGAGCTAAAGGTGAGACCTGCAAAACTACACACAGCCGGCTGAGCTCTGAGAAAAACTTTAAACAATTCTTTCACTACAGGTAAACCTCAGCTTCCTGATCCCAAAGTGTTGGCCGAGAGGTTTTTTAAGAGAAAGACATTCAGGCCAGACCCTCAGGGAACCAACCTGATGTTTGCCTTTATGGCGCAACACTTCACTCACCAGTTCTTCAAGACAAACCAGGAAGTTCAAGGTGGCTTCACCAAGGCTTTAGGACATGGGGTGAGATTAAATTGACATTCTGTGCTAATCACTATATAACCTTTTCATTATTTCTTGATTTTTAATGTGTTTGACTTTTGAATTTATTAAGAGATGTATGTGTTTCCATATTCCCAGGTAGATGCGAGCAACATCTATGGAGACAGCCTCATACGACAGCTTCACCTACGGCTTCATAAAGATGGAAAGATGAAATATCAGGTATTAAATACATTTATGACATTTTGGGAGTGCACTTTTTTGCTGAGAGATAGATGAGAAGATGAATACTACTCAAATGTGGGGTATTCATCTGCTCATCTAACTCACGAGTCACGACAAGGCAAATAACGTTGTTTGCCAAAATGTATTTTTGTTGTCATATCATTTAAGGAAGTCTATATCTAAAGATCAGCCCTTGATAACTTTAACTTCCTGTGTCATGATAACTGAGAATTTTGTAGTACATTTCCAGATACTGTAGTAGTGATAATCATAAAGTGGTTAAAGAGAGAAGGCACTTTTATCTTGTGATCAGGGTTTGATAGGAAAATTCCTCAAACTATGTTTATCAAAAGCTTATCTGCTTGAGGTTGTTTGTTGGCTAATACTTTTACCACCAGCAGCTATGCTCAAGTCTGTAATGACATGCACAAAAACGTTTGGCAAGAATTACGTTATTTTATTAAGAAAAATGCAAGACAAGAAAGTTTAAATAACACAGAATCAAGGCTTCTCTCTCATGTGTGGATTCCTTTTTGTGTTTGTTACAGTTAGTAAACGGTGAGATGTACCCTCCCACAGTATCAGAGGTCCCTGTGCACATGGTTTACCCTGAACACTTCCCTCCAGAGAAGCGTCTGGTCACCGGTCAGGAGGTGTTTGGCCTCCTGCCGGGCCTCACCATGTACGCCACCGTATGGCTGAGGGAGCACAACAGAGTCTGTGACGTCCTGAAGGCGGATCACCCCACCTGGGACGATGAGCAGCTCTTTCAGACCGCCAGACTCATCATCATTGGTGAGCGTGTCAGGAGGAGCAAACTCTTACAGTTTAAGTCTCAAACTGGAGTCAGCACCCGCACACTCTCTCTCTGTGACTTAGTGATTGTAATACATATGAAATTGCTTATATAAATACATTTTGATCGTTTTTTGCCATTACATTGCGCAATCAACATTTACTTCATAATAATAAGTACAAAAATTATCTCGAATAAGCTTCTCGTAACATAATAACACAATGAAAAGGCCTATATCAAAAGTTATTACAATTACAATAATTCAAGACCAAAAAGGCAGCAAAAAAAACTGTATGCAAACCTGGAACTACCAACATTTTTTGGTGGCAAAATGAGTGACATGATTCCCAAATTAATGGTTGCCCCATACATTTCAGTCAATAGGCTAATCTATTCATTGGCAAATTGTTAATTGTTTGATTGTTTGAACAGTACAAGTTAAAATGTCCATCTTTATGCTTCTTAAAATGAGTTTGCCTCAGTGTATCAATCAATGATATTTGAGTTGTTTGTATCCCACAGGAGAGACAATCAACATCATAATAGAAGAGTACGTGCAGCACCTGAGTGGCTACCTGTTGGACCTGAAGTTCGATCCCACTCTGCTCTTCAACGCACGTTTCCAGTACAGCAACCGCATCGCTCTGGAGTTCTGCCACATCTACCACTGGCACCCGCTGATGCCTGACAGCTTCCTCATCGACGGCGATGACATCCCATACCCTCAGTTTATGTTCAACACATCCCTACTCATGCACTACGGGGTGGAGAAGATGGTGGATGCCTTCTCCAAACAACCTGCAGGCCAGGTAGATAAGCACAATCCACTGACTGTTAACAGGAATCATCTGCCATCTGCATAACACTTTTTAGATGTGAAGTTGGTTCACTTTTTTTCTTAAGTCATCCACATCAAAGTTAACTTCCCCTTACAAATGCTTCCTAAATCTAAATGAGGCAACCTTCTCAGATATCGTTCATCAGCATCATGTGCACGCAACACTTTATTTCTGTTTAATGAGATGAATAGCTGTTAGATGTTGTAGCCTGCCAAGCTGAGCAACACGTTAGTATTGTGTTCTGACTTATGGTATTACTAACAACTCATAATGAAAGTAACTTTTTGTCTGCGTTTCAGATAGGGGGAGGTCACAACTCGCATATAGTTGTGCTTCACGTGGCAGAAAAGGTCATCAAAGAGTCTCGAGCTACACGAGTGCAGCCCTTTAATGAATACAGGAAGAGGTTTAACCTAAAGCCGTACACCTCTTTTTATGAATTTACTGGTAAGCAGAAATATTGTTCAAAGTATAACCTGCTTCTGAAACTTTTTGAACCACCGCTCTGCCCCCTTTATTTCAATTGTTGTAATCTATTTTATGTTTATGGGGTAATACAGCACATTTACTTTTGTCTTCATTTGTTATATTTTTTCCCCAACATAAAATGAATTCAGGAGAAACGTGAAAAAGAATATTATCACTCAGTATTTCTTTATCCTGTAGCAACTCTTGCCAATTCTGTAAGCAAAATAGGATGACTAAAACTCACTTTTTGTTATCACATAAAGTAACATAATACACTAAACACTTTGGTTGTTGCAAAAACCTGAATAACTGAGCTGCTTCTCATATTTTGTTCTCATTTTGGGACATTCTTTCATCCATTTTCTGTCGACATCACACTGAGAGCAGACAAAACCTTTCTGCCTTTTTCATAAATGTCTCTTTTCTCAGCCACTTCCCCCAAATTGCAAGTTGTTTTAGGGGGAAACTGGGGCTGAAGTGGTTTGCAGTCAAATGTAGCAACTGATGTTATGTAAAATACACGCAATAGTGAAGTGCTTTGTCACGGCGTTTTTTTAGCTAAATGCTAACATCTTCATGCTTACTTGCTCACGACATAGATTAACATGTTGATTGTTAGCATGTTTGCCACTGTTTGGCTGGTTAGCATGCCAAAAGTTCATAATTAGCGCTAAACGGTATAGAAAATGTAGCAGAGTATTGCGGTAATGTCAGTTGTTTTGCAGATATTCGAATATTAGCTAAACTAAAGTATTGACTGATAGGGCTGGTTTAACAGCTGTTTTATTTTTCCAAACAGATGACATTGAAATGGCCGAAGGTTTAGAGGAGCTCTATGGTGACATCGATGCTCTGGAGCTCTACCCCGGTGTCCTGCTTGAGAAAGCACGACCTAACAGTCTATTTGGGGAGAGCATGGTGGAGATGGGGGCTCCCTTCTCCCTGAAAGGCCTGCTTGGAAACCCCATCTGCTCCCCTGAGTACTGGAAGCCCAGCAGCTTTGGGGGAGAGAAGGGCTTCAATATCGTCAAAACTTCCACCTTGAAGAAACTGGTGTGCCTAAACACCAAATGGTGTCCATACGTGGACTTCCATGTTCCAAGAAATGACGAGGAGCTGAAACCAAGGAAATCAAATTCTGAACTTTAATCAATTAATCTCAATCTGTTTATTACTATGCTGACTGTAGGGACATTCTTTAGCTGCCAATGTGTTGCAAATTGTTTAGGGATATTTTAATTCTACATGACATTTAGTGGTTTCAATCCTGCCTGCATACTCTGAATCCAAGCAGGTCTACCTCCTGAAAACACAGGTGACAAATTCCATAGTTTCTGGAGCAGGAAAACATATTTGCAGTATCTTGAAAATGTTTTTTATTTGGTAATGGTCATCTTTTTGTGTGTATTTTCTCTTTTCTTTCAGTGAGGGTATAACATCACCATATCTTCTTGAAAAATGTAATGTAACTAAAATAGTCATAGTAAAAACATTTCTACAAAATATGATAAATATTCTGCAGACATTCTTGTTGCCTGTTAATGGAAACACAACTCAAGATTTGAAGATTCAAAGATGTATTGTCATGTCATATGCTACGGTGTAGTTATGAAATTAATGAAAAAAGTAGGTCACTTGTTCCTCACCAGCGCAATTACAAGACATACATTTTTATACAAATAAAATAAAATAGTCCAAAGAATAAAAATGTATTAATTCATCTTGGTTAAATTGACATGAATGTTAATAATCTGTGAGAAAATAAATTATGAATTTCTAAATATAGTCACTATTTAGATAACCCACTTGGCAATTTGGGGTTTGAGTGCAAAACACTTCTGGCTGAGCAGCTGATCTTTAACACTTCTTCATCTCTTTTTATGTCTTTTAGATGTTTTGAGTCTATGCATGTGCTTTATACATAAGTTTGACTTTACCATTGAAATCATTTGAATTATATTTGAGACAATATGCTTTATTAAGATGGTATACGTGATGCTTACCATTAGCACGTTAGCATGCTGACATTACCATCTTGTGCTGGGCAGCCTCACACAGGCACTACTGTATAATGGCTACAGACTCTGAGTATTGTTACTTTTTTTCCAGCTGTTTAGTGAGTTTCTACACAATTGGAATATAGAGAAAAAACATACAATCACAAAACTAAGTCGCTAGATGTGATGTCTTAGTTTGAGTTCTCACACCAACTTAATGACAGGAAGAGTCGCCTTGTCGCCTTGTGTCGCCTTGTGTGAGAAAAGTGATCACACTTTACTGTGGTTTTGTTGATGTCCCAAAAGGGAACCACAGGTTTACTTCTCTGTTTCACGTTTAAACGTAGCGGTTACAACTTGTCAGTAACTTGTCTTCATATAGCACAAGTCAGTGTATGTTCACAAAAACCCCAACTCAATATCCTCTTAATATTATCGATTAACAAGACTTTTCAAAAGTCAAAGTTGTTGCTACTATTCTATTCTTAAATCCTACTAATGTTATTCACCTTAAATCCCACGCTCTGACATTTGCAGAAAAGCTAGTAAATGTTTTTGCTGAACATATTTTAACCATACAATCTGAATTTGAACCTCATCTCTTTCCATCAAAGATGAACTTCAGTGGCAGCTCTTACCAATTTCATACAACCATTGAATGCAAGGAGGCACATTTCAACCCAGTCTCACGGCATTTCGTTTTATAATCACAACATTTAATCTATTGATTCGTGTTAAGCTGGCTACACACCAACCCGATTTTGGGAGTCAGAGGCCATCAGAGGCAGTCGGGCATTCGCGGCGCCCTACTCAGGTTTGTGTGTCCCGCACCGTCGTCTCTTTACGGCACCTTTTCACACCTCCCGCGGGAGGTCAGAGAAAGTCGGCGGGAGCAGCTACAGGTTAGCTTAGCCTAATCGATCAGTGGCCTGTACTACGAAGCCAGTTCAACAGACCCTGGATATCTCTGAGTTATAATTAACTAACCCTAACAAGCGAGATCCCGCTAAGCGGTCCTACGACCATACTTGCCAACCTTGAGACCTCAGAAATTGGGAGCATTTCAAGCTGTTAGAACTGTTAGCGCAGGAGCCTCGCAGCGGGGAAACAGACTTTTAAAGATGAAAAGAACATCTACACATGCTTATTGTAGTTGTAAGTGCAATGCCTTGCTGCCTGTAGCACCATCCTTGATGGAGCATATGTGTGGGCTGGACCTGTGTTTTACAGGAAAGGAGTGAGCAGAGGGTAGAGTTGTCCATTCTTGTTCTGTTTTCTGTGACTATCTTCCTCACCATGCTGAACACCCTCTCAGACTTTCAGTTTCGCGTGCTACTAAAGAGACGCGCTACCATGGAAACCAAACAATGGTGTACCTGTATTAAAGTAAATCTGATTTTGTCAGAAATCGGGAGAAATGCGGGAGAAATATGACCCCGGGAGGAAACCGGGAGACGCAATGAAATCGGGAGTCTCCCGCGGAAATCGGGAAGGTTGGCAAGTATGCCTACGACGCTGGTTATCAACTCGGTAAATCAACCCAGGGTTTCTCTGTCCGGCCGAGAGCGCGTTCACGTGAAAGGGACGGGGTGAGCAACATTTGACCAATCACAAACATGGACAAGCGTACTGACAGCGCAGCGTCATACTTCATGAATGAAAAGTAAACTATAATAGACAAATATGAAGAAGTTAAACTTTAAACATCCATGACTTAAACACTTAATCCAGGATAAAGCAACATAGCTGCACCTGCAAGGTGAATAAAGAACAGCTGGTACAAAAAAACGACCGAGTGTTTGAATGCGTAGGCCTACATTAACAGGTTTATGATATCACTGCCCCATCTAAGACACGAGTGGATCTGACTTTAATTACATTTGATGACTCAAGTGTTTCGTCAACTTAATGTGTTGTTTAAAATAACACTTCGGCATACAGTATGTGACTATAATGGTGCATTTCCACTGCAGGGCCTCGCACGGCTTAGTAGCTACGGTATAGTTAGGCCTTGGTAGGCCAGGCTCACTTTATGCTGCATTTCCAACACAGTCTCACGGCATTTCGTGTTATAGTCACGAAATTAATCTGTTGATTCGTGTTCACCAACACGATTTCGCAATTTTTTTCGTGTCACACAGAACGATTTTAAAAGCAATGTAAATAATAACAAATTAGAAGGAAAAAGACATTTAAAAAAATACAGATTTAAGTATTCTGACACAGAACGATTTTAGAAGCAATTTATTTATATTGGTAGTATGTTTCGTGCCTGCACCAAATAATAACAAATTAGAAGGAAAAAAAGACGACATAAAATACAGATTTCAGTATTCTGAGGCTCTGAGCCCCATTTCTTTTCCTCACTGACGGCAAAAAAACTCAGACATTATACAATTTAAAATAAAAGGGATAGGGTTAGGCTTAGGGTAAGATATTGAGTAAGAACATGTTTTTATGAACCACACAGCTTCTGGTCTTCCAAGACCCGACCGGACAAAAAGACGTGTTGCAGGCACGAAACATACTACCAATAGAAATACATTGCATTTAAAATCGTTCTGTGTGACACGAAAAAAATGTGAAAATCGTGTTGGTGAACACGAATCAATAGATTAAATTAATTTCGTGACTAATAACACGAAATGCCGTGAGACTGGGTTGGCATTTCCATTACAGTTTAGGAACTGGGGTAGTAACTATAGTAACGCAGTGTAGGCGGAGCCGTGACGTCATCTTCAATGCGAAACACAAAACCAACATCAGCCGTTAGCTGTTAGCACTCAAGCTCACAGCTCCTCATATCTGTTCAGAAACTAGACAAAAGTTAAACAAGTACAAACCACAGACTGTCTGTGTCATGGCGAATACAGTCACTGGTTTATTTATGTCTGTATAGGCCGTTGTGTGAGTGTGGACGGTCGGAGCATATACTGCGTTAGCTTAGCCAATCTCCATTCAGAAAACACGCATTTTAAAAGGTTTTTCGCCTGCCGTCTTGTCTGCAGACTTGACAAAGCATTAATTCATGGATTTTACTAACCGGTATCAGTATGTTGTTACTTCGGCATCATTTTGAAACGTGTATTACAATTAAATCACGGTAAAATATGTTCATTTTGTTGTAGTTGTAGGCAGCCCCCTTGCCAGCGATTCTCTCACTAGTTTAGCATATTCAGCCCGGTTGTTGGCCCGGAAAGAACCTGGATTTTGGAGAGCCAGAAAAACAGTGAAACAGTACCCGTTAGCCGGAACTACCCCTAGTGGAAACGCAAAAGAAAACGGGCCGGGTTTGGCACGGCACGCTTAAACCGTGCTACGTGCTGCAGTGGAAATGCAGGGAAGCAAAACTGCCATGTCATGCTGGCAGCCATGCTGAACACCCTGTACTGTAGAGCAGGGGTTTTCAAAGTGTGGGAAGGTGAGCCTCCCCTCAGAGAACATAAGAACAGCGGCGCCCCCCCTCCCAATTATTATTGCTATTATTATTATTATTGTTGTTGTTGCTATAATGCAGGGGTATTCAATTGCATTTCAAAGAGGTCCAGTAAGAGAAAATGAAGACTGTTTCTCTCCTCTTGTCTCGTCTCTGTGTGTGTGTTTGAATCTATCGTGCTGACTCACTGAGTGCACCGATATGATTGGCTGAGTAGCATCACCTCCTTAAAACATTAAACAATAACTTTTTAAAACATTTTTATCTTTATGTTTTAAACATGTTGTATAAAACTCCCCCACTACTTGGACTATTCCTTGCACCCCTCTAGAATAAGCCCGAATGGTCTCAACTTATAACAAGATCGCAAGGACACTGGTAGCGATCGGACAATTGAGTGTTGTTCAGTGTGTTGTGGAACATGCGTGTCCGTGCATGAAAATATACCACACACCCAATTACAATAGCATGTTCAATTCACTACCATGGAAGTTAATAAAGTTGTTAAAGTTGGAACAGCCTGTGGACAGCCGTTCTTCCTTGCATGTCAGTCGCCGACACCTTCTTACAGAGGACAGGCAAATCTAGCTGCAGCACGACCCGTATATTTTCGCACGGTGTTCTCAACACATATCTTTTTTTTTAAATTTACATTTTCAACATCGTGGATAAATCCTTATATGCTCCCGGCAACACACTGAACGTCAACTTTGCCTCCTTATTACACTCACCCCTACTTTAGTGGGAACAATGAGTCTGCGTCTTTGATGCACACAGGAATAAACGCAGATCATCCTCTGGCTGCAGCCTTCACCGGCACTTGCTTTTGATCAAAGTCAATGCGGAAAACCTGCACTCACACAGGTAGGTGGAGGTGAAGGGAATGAGCACTTTTACAGCCTTTTTGGCGAGGTGGGGGAACCCACAGTCTCCACAGACAGCCAAAAGTGTGCAAGTGTCACTTTACTCGTCTTTTTCTCGTTGTTCTTTTTCTCAAGCTGCGCCTCCCCTGAAGCTCTCTGGCGCCCCCCAGGGGAGGCGCGCCTCACACTTTGAAAACCGCTGCTGTAGAGCATGTATTTCTGGTACAGTAACAAACAACAGATAACTGTCCTTTACGTTTTGTGAAGACAAATCTAACTTAAATATATACTGTATTTTGTGAATTGTCATAAAGTTATATGGGGCTAGATCATTTTTTACAGTATGATATAATATGTATTGCATGTCTAGCTGAACCAGTAATGCATTAAAAGCAGCAAAGGTATGGTTGCACTGAGCTCTTTGGGTGACATTTTAAGATTGTTGCATGTGTAGTGTGCTCACTTAATTTTAGTATTCCAGCTGCTAGATGGCAACAACAGTATGATTTAATCTTATATAAAAATAAACTTCAAAAGTATGAACTAAACTACTAACTATCATTTAGATACATAGAGTTTAGTGTTTAGTGAGTTTCTAAATGTATGCACTGACT